ACTCTTTCCGAATCGACTCAAGAGGTGGTTAAACCTTCAAATGAGTGTAGATCTGATACCAATTGTTGAGTTAATCGATCGATGGAATTGGCTAAGAGGGGGGTGAATTGGAATTAAAAAAGTTGGTGGAAGCTTTTGCAGAAAATTGAAAGAAGTTGCACAGCGATTTAGAGTGGTTCGACTTTCTCAACCAAAGTCTACGTCCACTACCTTAGCTATCTACACTAAGTATTTTCCAACAAATTCACTAATTTGTCCTTTCTTTTGAGGCCAAAGAGATAACCTTAAAACTCCTTCAAGAATATACCCCAATTCTTGAGAACACTCTTTCTCAAAGAGAAATACACAAATTTGCAAACTTACAAGGAAAAACCTCACAAGGTATATTGTTTACACAATTCTAGAACAAAGAAAAGAACACTCAAGAATGAATACAATTGAGTACGAGTAGTGTTCTTGAAAGCAAAATGAATATTGAATGAAAAATAGGTTTGAAGTGCTCAAACAATGAGTTTGATGTTTTCTCTTTGATTCTCACTTGATTCTTGTTTCTTGTTATTTTTGTTGTTGATCAATGGCTTCTAAGCTTGTTTCAATACTCCTTCAATTGATTCTGAACATTGGGGATGATTATTGGAGTCAATAGAGCCGTTTGAGTGTGAAAATAATTAGTGAAAATAATTAATAAAATCAGTTGAGAGCGTCAGTGCATCGATGCATACACAAGGTGCATCGGTGCATCAAGTGTAAAATTCAAATATTTTTACCGTTGGAGCCTTAGTGCATCGGTGCACTAAGAGTGCATCGATGCATAAAGTGCATTCGATGTTTCAAAATAGTCTGAGTGCATCAATGCATGTCTTGTGCATCGATGCATAAAATGCATTCGATGTTCAATTTATTCAATAGTGCATCGATGCATGGTATATGCATTGATGCATAAAATGCATTCGATGTTCAATTTATTCAATGGTGCATCGATGCATGGATTGGTGCATCGGTGCATCCCTCTGAAAAATTGATTTTAGGCTTGATTTTGGTTTAAAATATTTTGTGAAAATTGTTTCAAAAATATATTAAGTATAAAACACAATTTTACACATTTAGTAAGGTTTGAAATTGATCTTGAAAGACTTGGAGTAATAATTTGATATTCGAGTAATTAAATCGAATATACTTAGAAAATCATTTGTAAAATCTTAAAATTCATTTAACTTAATTTGTTATATCGAAACATCAAAATGTTTTCAACAGATTGGATTTTGGACGACCACGCTCCCTCAATAAACTCGGAAAATTCATTTAACTTAATTTGTTATATCGAAACATCAAAATGTTTTCAACAGATTGGATTTTGGACGACCACGCTCCCTCAATAAACTCGGATTTGGTACAATCGGAAGCCAATCTTGAACCTCATCAGGGTCTTTGTCAATACCTATGGGGAGAACTCAACTTCGTATACCTTAAAAACTTCAGATAGTAGGTATATGTGATCCATAAAATGGTTATAGTCTTGACGTGTATGCGAGCAAGCTGTTATCACATGAGAGCATGTATATTTCAGAGCTTGAAAAAACCCGCAGTCGCACGTTTTATCCCTTAGATTTACTCTTAACGATACAACTTCAATCCCTTGAAGAGGTCGCAACAACTCTATGACACGAAACATTTCATGCCTTCTAGAGAAACTTGTTACAGACATCCCATTTGATGCATCAATTTTTTTATGTAGATTTGCAACTAATCTAGGGTGATACACATGACCACCTTGCATCCAAGTTTGAGCTTGTCCCCCGAGCTTCACAAAAAGTGCCCCCAAACGAAAATATATAGTCTTTACCAAAACTGCTACAGGTAAGTGACGTGTGTCCATATCAATATCCACAATCATATGCGTTCGTCCATATTTCTTTATCAATGAGGCTGATGTAATCATATCATTCCTCGTTCATCGCCCGCAAATCTTGAAGCATTGATTCAAAGATTCGAGGAAGTAGTTCGTAACCTGATCAAAAAATGTATAACTTACTAACATGATCAAAAGGATCGAAAAAAATGAACTACATCAGCTTCACTTACCCATGCGCACAAGTAATTGACGCTCATCATTCTTCTTGTATCTTCCATGGTAGTTCACAGCAATGTGTCGGAGACAATACCTATGTTGGACAAAGGGTGGTTGCCACATTGGACCCAAAGAATCCATTGCTTCTTTGATCCCAGCTCCGCGATCTGAAATGACACATATTTTTTCCCTCGTGATAACATGTGCACGTAAATTTCGGAGGAAAAAAGCCCAAGAATCTATATATTCTCCTTCGACAAGACCAAAAGCAACTGGAAGAATGTTGCGATTGCTATCTTGGACAACTGCCAATAATAAAACTTGCTTGTATTTTCCATACAAGAAAGTTTTGTCGATCTGGACCACATACTTGTAATATTTGACAGCATTAACGCACTGTGGGTAAGTCCAAAAAACTCGGTAGAATTGGCATCGATCGCGGATAACTCGATCATGATGGTATGCATAGGAGGTTTTGAAGTCCACATTTATCCCAGTATTCAACCTCCGCACCAGCCTAAACTAGCCTGGAAGTTCGTTGTAAGATGCATCTCATTCGCCATGAAGTTTGACAATGACATTTTGTTTTGCCAACCAAGTTTTTTTATAGAAGACAGTGTACTCATACTGTGATTGTATAGCTGAAATCAACACAGCAACAACTATATTAGAGCTTGCTTTTACCATGGGCATGATGGCTTGACATATCACTTCAGAGTCCAAGTTGGGATGATCTTGGTTGATCCCTCCAGCACAACATGTGTGAGGACCGTTGTATACTGTTAGTTCTCATCTATTGTTTTTCCTCTTCCTCTTTGATATGCGAACCATCCAATTGCATCCGTTTTCACGTCAGGCACAGTAGCATACATATTTTTCTGTCGTGGAGCGGTCGACTCTCGATTGAACAGAATTACAAATATTATAATTTTTTAAAGCCATCATCGCTTCTTCTTTGCTTGAAAACTCCATGCCTAAATATAACTCACCATTATTTATTGATGAGTAATATTCATAGTCACTGAGATGAGGCATATCCGCAAATTCTGACCCATACATTGCACCATAATCAGCTTCATACATGTGTGCTGGAGGGTCAGTTTGTGCCACATTTGTTGGAACTTCATCCATATCATCATCATCATCGGAGTTGAGTTGCAGTGATTCTGGGTGAATGAATATTCCAGTCTCAGCACCCTCCGCACCAGGCTCACGAAGCGGTTCTTATGGTGGAGATGATGGTTCCTCCATGCTCTCCACATTTAGGTCAAAGAACCTACTACTTACACGCCTTCCCCTTTAACTGGAAGGCATATATCGACATTCAGATCGAAAAAGATCGCAGTCGAATGCCTCCCCCTGGAGCTTGAAGCCATCGTGTCAAATGGAAACTGCACAGATTGTTGTGTCGATGGCATCTCCATATTAATGTCAAAGGGATTTACAGATGAATGTCTTCCATGTCTTCCCCTTGAACTGGACGCGATGTTGCCATACAGATTGTTCGTCGACCCACCTCAGTACATATCGTAAGGAGTTGCGGATGAATGTCTCCCCATTATGGCATTAAAATCATTACACATTACTGTCGTCGGGCTGTCAACTTGTTCAGCCAGCCCATAGTGGGAGCTTAATGATTGACCCCGAACAACACGCACTTGAATAAAATTTGCATACATCTCAATATCAGCGTCTGAATAATTACTTTGAGCTTCAACCATCATTTCAACATCATCATTGTTCAAAAGTTCGAACGTTGTATAAGTTAATGGCAACAATGATGTTAGAAATCTGTACTGCAACGACGACATTCTTCTACTACTTCCAACATGAATCTTCATCGAAATCTTCGTTATCAGCTCCTTAAGAGTTATGTTTCTCTTCAATGATATTTTAACACGCTCATTTGATAAGAAAACAACGCTGGTTTCATCTTCTCGAAATTCTCCATCATAATAAACAATAGCTGAAAGTCGCGTCATTCTTTGAGTTTAAAAGTGCATCAATATTATATCTGTAAAAAAAACAACTGAAACAATGCTGATTAAATAAATAATAAATGAACGAAAATATAACACAATAAAATTTTTACACATAAACGTAAATAATTTAAATAATATAATTTTATATTATTACTTGTACCGCAAAACTATTTCGACGTATATTCCCGCTTTTTAATTTTACAAACACAGAAATTAATTGACAACAATTAATTTAATATTTTTTCAAATAATCATAATAAACAATAAGTATAATAAAAAATATTATCACAAAATTACCTTATAACGAAAACTAGCACGAACTTCTAAATTAAATATGATAAGATTGTTGGATTGTTGTATTAAATTTTTTTTCTAATCGTGAGGAGATGTGAGGAGTTACCTCGGGGAAAGGGTATTTATAGCCGGGAAAAACTACAAGACGCGGTACCTGCATCGCGCCTTACATAATTATATTAGATAAAGCTAAGGTGCGCCCCCGGGGCCGCGCTTTACACACGTGTATACCGTGTCAGCATAAGGCGCGCTTCAGGGGGCGCGCCTTACCCCACGTGACACCAAATCAGCGTAAAGCGCATTACAGGGGCCGCGCCTTTCTGCAAAGGCTGTTAGATCGGGAAATATAGTCTGAACGGTGCCTGATCGGGAAATATATAGTTCAACGATGATATATCGGGAAAATCGCCCATAAAGAACGGGTTAGTCAATCTTTCAGCAGAAACAGCTGGTTTTTGTCCTATTTTGGAATCTAATTATGGTGTCAATAATCATACCATAATTTTTATAACAAAGTTTGAGCTTTTGAATCCATGAGAATTGAGTGAATTAATTGTATGAAGTTTTGGAACTTTATATGAATTGTTAAAATGAAGCCATTGGAATCCCATGTCATTGTACTTTATTAAGCTCCACTATGTGTTTTCTACATCTCAGGCACCTCTATGAATTACACCAGCATGTTGATCGTATTATAAGGTCAGGGACAGTGGCAAAAATCGTTCTTCCATTTGATCGCGAGACGATTAGGAGAATTCTTATACAAACTGTAAGTGTATCTAAGTGCATGAATGGATCATTGAGATACTGGATGTCTGCTGGACCTGGTGACTTTCAACTATCACCTTCTGGCTGTCATCAACCAGCTCTTTATGCCATTGTGATTGAAGATCAATCTTTGTTCGATTCGAGAGGCATCAAAGTAGTTACTTCGTCGATCCCCATAAAACCTCCCCAGTTTGCCACCATGAAGAGTGTGAATTACCTTCCGAATGTGCTTTCAAAGATGGAAGCTGAAGAACAAGTTGCATTTGCAGCAATTTGGCTTGATGATGATGGATTCATTGCTGAAGGGTCTAATATGAATGTGGCATTTGTCACAAAGGAACAAGAGCTTCTAATGCCCAAATTCGACAAAATTTTGAGTGGTTGCCCTGCTAGGAGAGTTTTGACTCTTGCGGAGGGACTGGTGAGAGTGGGGAAGCTTCGTGGAATAAGAGTGGATAACGTGTGTATCGATGAAGGGAAAAGCGCAGATGAAATGATGCTTCTTGGCAGTGGAGTCCTTGTACGCCCTGTAATACAGTGGGATGAGAAGGTCAAAGGCGATGGTAAGTTTCGTTTTTTACTTAAGTTGCAACATTTAGCAGCTAGTTTCTGGCATTCAGTGATTCAGATTTACCTGCATTTCACTTCACTTGCATTATTTTATCCTTGAATCTTGATGGATTAAGTGCTTTCTCCTATAAGAAAGTGTGTCCTTACTCGAACAGTTGTCGAAATATTTTGATCCTAAAACACCTTTTCGAAGTTCTTGAGTTGATGCATTGACAATTCCTTTTATGGGGTTTCTTTGTAGGCAAGGAAGGTCCAATATCCAAAACTCTGTTGAATTATATCCTAGAGGACATGAACTCCGGTCTGTCATCGGTCCGAGTGCCGGTTCGTTATTGAAGCAAATCTTGATTCATTATCTTGCTCTATGTCAGAAGGTTTTACTTCAAATTGTGAGGGGCTGCTGCCATTATAATGCAGAGCACTCTGGTATGCAAGTTAAACAGTTAGCTGTGTATTTAGTGTCGAATTTTAAAATCGAATGGATTGAACCAGTTGAATGCTTAAGTTATTTTAAAAGTTACACGCCCTCAACTAATAGTTTTTATCATTTGGGCTTATGCAACCAAAACAATATATCATTTGGGCTTATTAATAACATTATAAAAACAGCATATTATACAAAATTAAAATAGATTAACTAAATCATATATTTCAGCAAATAGAGGGGCTATACCCCGAAATAGACCTTCAAAGTTCAACACATACAGAAATTACAACATTCTCGTATGAGCGTCGAACCACAGTAGAATAAATAAAACCATTCTAAAAAGGGTTAATTATAATTTTTGTTAAACTCTGTTGGCACTTCTTTCTTGATTAATTAATATTAAAAAAAGTTAGTTCAATCATTCAACTTTTGAGTTTTATTCTTTTTTGTCATCTGATCGTTAAAAACGATATATTTTTAGGCCTTTTATTTTTTTATTGATTTAAAATTTTAACATTCTTCTCCCCTAAGGTTGATGTTTTTCTCCATTGTTATTTGATCGTCATCAATCAATATTTATTATATAATTAGTATTAAAATGTTCCCTTCTCACCTTTTTTTTCCTTCTCAAATTGATTTTTTTTAAAGAATGACAAAATCCAAATCAATATTAGCTTTATCTTAGTTTGATATACAATATCTACCATTTAATTAATATAAAATCAAAATACATAATATTTCTCCTCTTCTCTATCATTCAAATTTAAAAGAAAATACTCAACCGTCTATGAATTGAAGGAAGTATAAAAAATTTAAGTTTGAGAGAAACATTACATTACAGGGTTATTTTACATTAATTTATCAAAAAAATTAAATGATATTAAAGACTTGATATAGTGATAAAAAAAATTCGAAAGTCGAGTGTTTAAATTAAAAAATATATATAGTTGAGTGACTAAAATAGAAATACAAACAAGATTAAGTGATCAAAAAGAAGTTTAAACCGTTTGACGTCTACGCATGGTCAAAACGATCGCTATCATCTGGATGTGCGACGTGTATGCATCATTTAACAACACGTGGTCGATTCTGTTTAGCCAACCTATTTTTTCTTACAATCATTCCCGAATGATTGGGAGAAAAGATTAAAAAATATTTTGAGATTATTTTCCAAAAATAAGAAAAAGAAAAATAGAAGAAAACAATTCCATTTGCATTTAGATGGACAAACAGTGAGAGAAGCGAGGAGGGGGGGGAAGAGGGAGACCTCCTGCCGAATTTGGACTGTTTTGATTTATTTATTTTTTTACTTGTTAATGAGAGAATTCGTGGGAGTCTCCGGAATATTCCTCAACTTCGCCGGCCGGTGACCGGAATTGCATTTTAATTTTTATAATTTTTAAACTTTTGTTTTTGAGGGGGATAATTGTGGTGAAGATGGTGAATTTTTTGGTGGAAAGAGCTACGAGCGATTCACTGATGAGGCCTGATTGGGCTAAGAACACCGAGATCTGCCAAATACTTAATCATAATCCTGGGTACTCGTCCCACTGAATCCCTACCCCTACCTCGTTTTGAGAATTCGATTTGATCATAAAGAACGTATCTGGTATTAATTGTAGATTTGAGAGAAATCGAATTCTCTGTTACGCACACATCTTTATTATGATTGAACAGTTCCTTTGCTTTTCATTTTAATCCACGAATGTGTTTGATAATATAGCTTTAAGTATGCTTTTGGTTTGATTTACGGAGGATTTATATCCCATGTTTTAAATCAGGATTGAGCATTTTTGTTTAAATTTTCTCATGTGTGAGTTTTATTCAAATATATTATAATTTTTTATCGTAATTATTCAGATACTATAATGTAACCGTGAGTTATTTATCAGGCAAGTAAAAGATGTTGTGAAAGGCATAAAGAAGAAGCTCAAAAGTAAACGTCCTAAAGTTCAAATCCTTGCACTATCGGTAAGCTCCTGGGAATTTTTACTCTCATTTTTTCTATTATAGTCCCTAGATACAATTAGGGATAGTTACGATGCAGGGAGGGTCGTTTTTTTTTTTTCAAATTGAAGGTTTTCAAGCAATTTTACCTATTTTGATATTAGATGATGTTTCACACGTCCTGAATCTATCTTTCATTTTAGATGTTGTTGTAGCTACTAGATTGTATGCTAAAGAACTGTGGGGACATTGTCCATATGCATGTTGCAGACAGAAACATTCTTCCTCGGATGGTCAAAATATTCAAGAAAAAGGTAGGAAGTAATTCTTTTAACTCCCATTTTTGCATTTTTTGTTTCTTCCATTAAAGCTTGTTCTAAGTTTTTTACTGCCATAATGTAGAGTGATTATAGTGTCAAAGAGAAGATATTGATTCTGGTTGATACTTGGCAAGAAGATTTTGGAGGGGCAAGGGCAATATATCCACACTATTTTGTTGCATACCAAGAGTTGTTGGTACGTTCGATTTAGGTCAAATTCTATAAAAGGTCCCTATAATATATGTTTTTGGTAATTTAGTCTTTTTATTATAATTTCATCATCTCTAGCCTTTTTACTTTTCGAACCATGTATTTTCAATACTGAGACCGAGTTTTCTCTGTTATTTTAACACTTAACATACACATTTCGAACGAGGGCAATAAATGATCAAATTATAATAACAAGACTAAATTACTGAAAACATGTATTATAGGGACCTTTTATAGAATTTAGTCTTTTATTTATGACTCCCATGTATTCAAAACATAGTTGTTATGCAAGCAGTAGTTCTACATAGTATGGCCTTCTCTCAGTTTTTCTCTGAGGTAAACTGGTTTATAATTTCAGCGAGCTGGAGCAGTATTCCCCCAGAGAACTGAGAGGCCTCGAACTCAACTTGCAAATCCCCAAAATGTACGCAACTCTGATCAGCAAGAGGTGGATGACCCTTCTGGAGAGCCTGACTTCCCAACCCTGAGGTATTTTTGTTGCGTCTAAGTTGTTTTGAGTCGTAAAAGCCTAAGTTAATCAGATTCCGATGTGTCTCGGATACGGATATGTATCAGACATTGTATATCGTCAGAAATATCGGTATTTGTGACATTAGTGATAGTTATATTACACTGATAATTCACCATTTGCTACATAGTATTTTATCATGAATGATCCTGCAGCTAGTCTTTTAATTGGAGTTCCATTTATTAGTTTGACAGAAATTCAGAATGCTCGGAGTATCATGAATGTCCTTGCAGATATGCTAAACGCGTTACATCCTACAAACAAGGAGGTATTCGTTTACAATTTAAAAATATAGAGAAAAGAAAGATATTTTGTTTACTTCCTAAAACAATTCTGTGGTATAATGAAGAACATATCCGGTAACCTTTCTTCTACAACTTCAGGGAGCTAAGCAGGATGTCATCATTGACTTGGTGGAGCAGTGCCGCACCAACAAACAAAGAGTTGTTCACCTAGTTAATTCGACTTCGTAAGGATGATTTTTCTTTTACTATAACTTCCTAGTCTCACGGTACCATTTTTACATGTCGATTACTCGATGTAGTCATCTGTTTTTACAGAACCGTAGGCTTTGCGTTAAATAATTTTATATTTAAAACATATATCACCTTTGATTCTCTATATCTTGTAGGGATGAATCACTTCTACGTCAAGGTTTAGAACTGAATGATGATTTGCAGAGAGTACTAGCCAAGCATCAAGCAATAGCTTCAGGAAATTCTCCTCAAGCAGACAAAAATAAGCCTGAGCCTGCAAGAGAAACCGGGAATGCCGGTGATCCTCTAGTCGACACTGGTGATATCAGCAACCAGTTTAATGAGAGGTAACACTTCTTTGAATAGGATTTTACAAAATGCAGGGAATTAGTGATTAAAAATTTGTGTTGTATGCTAATCATGATCTTATCTCAGCATCCTGCAACTTGGGTACAAGTTTTTTTCGCAGATCCGTCAACTTGATATAGTGATTAGTAGTATATTTCTCTAAGTGAGTATTTGATTTGTTTATAAAATTTTAGATTTTCAGGGTTGGGAACTGAAATTTATTTATTTCTGGGTTATCTGTCATCCTTGATCAGATGTTTCCGGTATCTCAAACTTTGACTAACCGGCATTCTTCGCAGATCTGTCTTTGGTGCTGCTGCAAGTTCTCAACCAGATAATACTGCTCCAGCAGCAGCGAGTCCCAAAATAGACTTGCTTAGTTGCGATGATTTCAATTCACCAGAGGCAGATAATTCACTGGCCATTGTTCCTTCTGGAGAACCACAACAAACAAGTCCTGCACCAGAGCAGAAAGCCACTGTTCCGTATATGTTATCTGATGGTAACAGCACTTATGGTTCTTCTAACATACAAGGTTTCCCTGGACAAACCAATCCTTGGACTCCTCAGTTTCAGCAGCAGCAGAACTTTCATGGGAATATGGGTCCTTCCTGGAATAGTCAGCTGGATCAAAAGCAGCAGTCCCTTTTACCTGTTTATGGTTTGTTTCTGTTTACAGTAAGCTTTTCATGCCGCATTTTTCAATCATTGACACCGTTAGTATCATCAGTTGAAATTTACCCTCAATAGAACTTATGCATTCGTACCAACTTTAGAAGGAAATTATTATAAACTCGATAAACATACCTAATAGTGAGAAAATCTTGACAGAAAATAATAACATCAGATTCATTGTGGTCTTTTCTCTTATCAAATTCATGTAGTGATGTTCTAGGCTTCTTTGGCAGGCTGAATGATATATATTCTTGATATAAAACCACATTAAAACCGATGAAACTTACTTTTTCCATGTTGAGAAGGTCACCAGAGCGGTGCCGTACTAGCACTACCACTGCCACCCTGGGAAGCACAACCAGCAGGCTCTAGCCCAGTTCCAGGTGCTCAGTATCCCCAGCCAATGGTAGGCATGCACATCCAGCCGATCACAACCGGTAATTTTTCCACAATCGATAATAACCGGGCCATGCAGGGAAATCAGTTTGCTAGTTTTCACCCCCAACAAAGCCAAGGAGTTCAATATATTGGCATGATTCCACATCAAATGGCAGGTGGTCAAATGGTTCATTATAATCAACAAGCTCAACAAATGTATGGAAACCCACAAATGGGAGCATCATCAGGGTATGCCCAGCTGCAGTATCCTGATCAGCAAATGCATAGGCTATCAATTAGAGATGAAAATGGCTTAAGCAACACTTCTTCATACCAGGTTTCAAGTTCCTCTTATGCTCCACCCAGCAAACCTTCAGAACCAGAAGATAAGATGTTTGGAGACCTTGTTAATATAGCAAAAGTTAAACCAACAACAAATACTCCTGGAACACCTGGTACAATGTGAAACCCTGAATTTCTTTCATTATTCTGATAAGTTAAATTGAGTTTGTTATTCAGGTTTGTAATGATTGATTCGTATCGAAACTGTTGATATGGTTGTAAGTTGCAACTTCAAAAATATATTATTTTTCCGAATTTCTATTTGCTTCGAGTTTGAGTGAGACATTCTTCCATCATTTTTTTACTCCCAGAGTCTCTCTCAAAACTGCATCGGATCTGGTAATTTCAGCATGATCCAAAAACAATATAATAAATATGGCATGAAACGATAAAAAATCATATTTAATACATGTATCGTATAAATTTTTCATGTTTAGTACCTTAATCGTAGCTATCAATCAGTCGGATTACAGCTTGTTATTAAATTCTACTTCTTTCATTGTTGAATAAGGAAGGAGAGTATTAAACGTTTGTAATCAAAACAGAAACATCGAGACCAAAGAGATGATAATGATACTGCCATCAACCAGAAACTACAAAATTTCCATCTAAAGACTTAAAACAAAGATCATCAATGCAAATCACAAGAGATGCAGAACTGGAACACAAACCATAAGCTTTAACAATAAACCGTGTTAAACTAATTTTCAGAGAAATGAGACATATCTGGTTCAATTCATGTCTTACCGGTTTCTCATTGATCAATACTTCCAGAATTCAACATGTATCATAACAAACAATGAGAAAATTATTAAGAAATAACCCTTACAGATTTCAATTACGGAATGAAACAACACTCCATTTTGGAAAGAAAAATAACAGTCACAGACTAGGGGTGCTGTTATAAAGGCATAGAGATACCTGCAACATCGAAAAACAACATGAATTAGAAAAAAAATGATATGTTACTGTAACTGATCAATGATCTATGCGCAAACACAAAATACTCAGAAAGAAATAACAGCATGAACAAGATATTCGGTGTTTTTAACATTATTCTATCAATTTATCATCACTATTGACAGTAGTACTTTATCAAGCATACAAAATGCAGGCTTATTTCACAAAATAAACTATCACTATGCATGGCTTTACCAGTGAATGCTAGAGGGCATGACAAATGCATGCTATAAGCTATGCTCTATAGAGGAACATCTGACATTCAAATATATGGAGAAAGCTTCTAAAACTGTAAAACATACAATTCTTGATCACAAAGTCAAGAATTTTGCATTGGGGTCAAGATAAAAGGTGCTTTGTGTAGAGAAGGCCAAGGCCCTTACCAACCTGCTGCAGATTCGGCCTGGTCATATCACAAATGGTGGCAAGCAATAAGGCGAAAGGATTATATGAAACAGTATGACAAGTATTTCAACAATTCATCAATGATTCTTGCAATAAAGTCATTTTTTCTAAAAAATTAATTATGTGGGGTAATATGGATTAACCGCAATGGCGTAGCTGTTTCGCACAATCACTCCATTTTTTGTACTAATAAGCTTTAGTGCTGTCAATCTAAAAAAAAATTAATGTTATTCAGTAAGAAAGAGACCTTGAGGAATCAAACCCCAACTCTGAGATTCCGCGGCAAGAAATGATCTGAGGCGAGCTGAAGCAACTGCGCTGTGCAATGGCATCATTGACATTAAGCAGCTCAACTCCACTGGTAATCTAAATTAAGGGTAAAAAGAAAAAACTGTAAAATATTATTTCAGAGACCAGCAAAATTAATACTTTAGAAACTCAAAAGTTTTACTTATGAAAAAGCTCACCTTGAAATCCCAGAAATGCGATTCACTGGAGAAGAAACTTGAGAGTGAGAGCTAGATTTCAATGGAGAAACAGTGGGTAACACTGAATTGTTGCTTTTAAGCTTTAAAGGAAGTGACTTTAACCGAGCCGATGATAATCTCGAGATAATATTCGAACCAGACATTTAAAGCTATCTTCTTCTTCTTCTTTTCCTCTTACCTTGTGGGATCCGGATCCTAAGTTGTTGTCACTGAGAGGTTTAAGCTTTTCTAATTTCTAGGGTTTATGCCACATTGGTCATGTTTGGATACGCATCTTAAATCATCCTACTTGAGTCTTATCTTATTCGGTCGGATCAAGGGTCAAGGGTCACGGCAACTTTCGAGCTTCAACCATTTAATGTAGATGTTCATCATTTAATCTAAGTTATATTTAAATTATATTAAATTCAATTATTAGTATGAATTAAGTAACCTTAAATATGTATTATTATTTTTTTCTCAATTAATATTTCTTAAACTTCATCGACATTATTAGTTTTCTTTTAATATATCATATTTAAAGTATTCATACAATATATATATATATATTAAAAGGATGATATTTGTAGAAGTTTTAGATTCAAACACAAAAAATTATAAATGTATTTAAATTTTTATTGTTGAGAATCTTTAAAGTAAATATTATCTTGTAGTCTCCTTTCATATGGGCTATTTTGACAAAAGGATGTGACTAATATGATAGTGATACTTTAAAGATTCATTTGAAATATTTTTGAAGTTCAAAGATTAATTTAAAAATATACAATAGTTTGGGAAAGTTATGTGCAATTAACCTAAAATAAAATAGATCGCTAAACAAAGAGCCAGAGCTCCGTCATCGAGCTTTCACTTTTCAACCTCGTCAAAATCTAAAAGGCGACCAAAGAAGCTTCCTTTTCTCTCTTCCCAGGTAACCTCTTTCAGGCTCGATTCTAATAATCTCTTATCAATTTTAATTATCGTTTCTATCAATTTCATTAATATATATCTTATTTGATTTGATCTCTAAAAAATAATTGGTAATTAATCATTTTCGCTGTTTGCAAATTGCAAGCACTGCACACTTTAATTTATGGTGTAAAATCGTTAACGATTTACTTGTTTTCTTTGAATTTCGCAGCTATTTGGGACGCTGATATACAAATATCGAATTTTTTCTGAAGTGTCTTTGAATTTCCAGCTAGAAAGGAAATATGCAGGTTAGCTGATATTTACGTAGATTGCTGGGGGTTTTTTTCTTGGTTTAATTATGTATTTTTGTGTGTATTAGATCAAATAAATGGCGATTACCTTAGAATTTAGTGTGGGTTGTTGTGAAAATCAATTCTTTCTTTGATTAATATGTTGAAAACTTTATGCGAAGGCATCAAGAGCAAGGTTGTTTAAGGAATACAAAGAGGTCCAGCGAGAGAAGGTGGCCGATCCGGATATCCAACTAGTCTGTGATGATTCTAACATCTTTAAGTGGACTGCCCTTATCAAGGTTGGTTCACACAATGTAAAAGAGAGGAAGAAAGAAATACGGTGTGGACATTTTTGTTCTTTGGATTTTGTCTTGAATTATATGACCCCTTTTTTTATATATAGGGACCATCTGAGACACCTTATGAAGGTGGAGTGTTCCAGCTTGCTTTTTCTGTTCCAGAGCAGTACCCTTTGCAACCTCCTCAAGTGCGGTTCCTGACAAAAATATTCCATCCCAATGTGCATTTCAAGGTATGAGTTATGTGGCTTGATTGTGTTGTATGCTTTACTTGAATGCACATCATCAAAGGAAAGAAAGATGTAAGATTGTGTGCTGATATGTTAGTAAACTTTGTGGATCTCCCGTTCCTTTGTTGAATTGGGCGATAGGTGATTTCACTTGGCAGTCACGACTGCCAAACCAAAGATCTTAATGGAGAAGCAGTACTTATTCACCATTGAACATGTATTAGTGTCTTTGTTATTCTGCATAAATGAATGTAGTGCTTACTTTTTGAATGTACCATGTAGCATTCAAGGTTGCCGATTCATCTAGATAAGGGAGAGAACATGTGGAGAAATTTATGTGAACTCTTTATGCCAAATGATTGTATGGGACTAACAAATAGTTATGTGTAGTAAACTTAATCTTTTCCAAGTTGATGCAAACCCTTCTATGAACTTCACTTTAATTACCACCAGGATAGGGAGGAGAAATTGGATCAGAATGTCAGAAGTTGACTATAAAATTAAAAATCAGTAACTTTACAATCTTCTATATAATACATTAATACTTTCCCCTAGATCATGTTTTAGTGGTGGAAAAAGGTAGAGCTGGGTTGTTAGTTCTATTTCCATGTATGTATTTGTAGGATTCCAAGCTGCTCGATTGAGAATTTAGTCTCTATTTGTCATTACACTCTTGTACAGACAGGAGAGATTTGCCTTGATATATTGAAGAATGCTTGGAGTCCTGCATGGACACTTCAGTCTGTTTGTAGGGCTATAATAGCTTTGATGGCTCATCCGGAACCTGATAGCCCGCTTAATTGTGATTCTGGTAAGTTGGTCTATTTAGTGCTTTTCTTTTCTGATGTTGCATTACAAATTTATGGGGAGGAATGTTAGAAGATCATATTAAACATAAACTTGATAAATAAGTTATTTTACTCGTTTCAAGCATTGGTCTATGTACATTACTGAGAAATGAACATACTTCTGATAGAATAGGTGTCAAAAAGGCTGTTTTAGCAAAACAGTATGGCCGTGTGAACTGAGAAATTAAAAATGAATTGCGCATATAAAATTTTCGAGAGAGTATATCAGAATTGAAGAGGTCTGCTGTGCCAACTCCCTATAGTTTCTTTTCTTTTTCCTGCTCCATTGCTGTTCCCATTTCTTTGAGCTTTGATATATTGGCACCCTTCCTACTTGTTGGCAGGCAATCTTTTAAGATCTGGTGATATCAGAGGATTCCAATCTATGGCACGAATGTACACCAGACTCGCAGCCATGCCCAAAAAAGGGTGAACTTATGATGCTATAAACCATCTTTAAACCGTAAGACACAATTATTCTGGTGGTTTCACTTGTGCTTTTCAAACATCATTATAGAAATTCAAGAATATTTCCAACTTTTCTGATCCAAAAATATCAGTTTCAGCTATAACTTCTCTTACGTTCAGTTTCTTTCTCAAGTAATATGTCTGTATCTTTATTCCAAAAAACTGCAAATATAAATCATCATTGAACTCGAAGCAATGCTTCCACACTTAAGAGGTGACTCTAGATCTGCAATATTTGCAATCTCTTTTATTTTGAGGCAGCTACCTCCTCTTATGCACCGAATAAAATGAACTTATTATTGCAAGTTCAACCATTGATTAAGGCTTTCCCTTGTGGTGTTTGTCCGGTACGAAGAAGATGAAGGAACTGAGATCGAATCTGGTATGAAGGAGATGAAGGAACTGAGACCGAATCCGGCTCAGTGCCATTAATAACAGCATTGCTATGCTCTGTGTTTTCAGGCTGGGTAGATGTTTCTCATATTTTTAGAAGGGAAAAGGGAAATATTTCTTTTGTTTGGGGTTTGAAAATGGTAAGGTTGGCATGATGCTAAAGACTTGTAATGGATGCAAACTGTAATGACGCTATGCTACTCGAACTTCCATGTGGTTGCACGCCTAGCTTAAATATAAACCAAAACCAAACATGAGAACTGATAACTACTATTTTGAAAATATTTTAATATCTTGAAAATCCAATTAAAACATTCGAAGATTCATTACTTAGATCAATTTAAAGTTTTCACCATTACTTAGGTCCCTTCGTATATAATAATGACTGTAGCATTGACTTAAATATTTCTGTAAATAATAATTACATACAACAATGTCTTTTATCACTTATTTTTCAACTATAAGTTCAGGGAAACATAGAGAAATTACAACAAATTCTTCTAAAGGAATGCCAATATTTTGCTATTATTTTTATTGAATCATAACTATATCAAGAGATTTTGTCTCTAAGATCATCAACTCATTCATAACGAAAGCAAACACATTACGAAATATATTCCCATGTTGTGCCCCAACTGGATGAAATTATTATTTGAGGAACTGATCAAACCAATCACTCACTTCTTTCACCATTAATGGTGTCATCTTGTGCCCTATGCCAGGTTGCGCGACAAGCTGCAGGTACTGTCCGGTCAGGACGTAAAAGATGTATATACACACACAATATAAAAGCAGCAAAACTCCGGCGGTGGGGAAACCTCTTCTTCTTCTTTTTAATTGAAAGAGCCAATCACAGTAGGCTAAGAACAACTACTAAAGGATTGTAGGGGGAAACCTTATTATTAAATAATAAAGCATGCATTACAATATGACAAGCATGATTGAATGGATAACATGCACATACATTGCACGCACATCCATCACACTAATGCAAAATGAACACGTGACATTTATATTCCAGCTAGACCTGTCAACTAGATGGACAGATTAGTAATAATCAACTTAACAGAATCCAACGGATTCCGGTACTATCTGATTAGAGATGATCTTTCTTCTGAAATTCAAGTTCGAGATGAATGTTGTAAAGGAAAGACCGAAAGAGTGAAGATCGACATCGGGACAGTCAAATTTAGTGTAAAATCTACCCGACCCAAGATTGTTACTATAATTTCCTCTTCATATATTTCGGAATAATTATTATAATGTCATCTATCTATATTTTTTACTTGTCTAATTATTTTATCGAATTAAATAAAAAATTTATTCATATCAAAACGGGACAAGTTTAAACCCAAAATTCAGGACGGGTTCGGACAGATGAAACATCCCTAAACGTCCAAACGAGTTGGGATCAAATGAAAGCTTACAATTTTCGAATCGGATCATGACAACCAAAAAGCAGACCCATCTTGTCCCATGCCCATGTCAGATCCATCTAAATTGGATAGGTTTAGATTATAAAATTTCGATTAGTTCCAACTTTTTCAAGTTGGGCCAGGTTCAATTTCAAAACATTTTGAGATCAGGCCATTTAAGGGATTTCGATGATTTTACAATTATTCAGCAGTGATCCCTTACCTTAAACTTGTCTGCACAATGGGCCTCTCCATAAGCCTTGCATGCCCTCGTCTTGGGAATTTCTAGGCCATCAAGAGGACAACGGGGATCTTCGACTCCTAAATATAGTTAAAATCAATAAGAAAAAGTTGTAACCATACATGGGAAATTCCAAAACAATTGAATTCCAGAGAAATACCAAAAAAAAAAAGAAAGAAGAAGAAGAATTGTATCATTTACAATCAGAAAAGGGCGTGGTGCGATAGCCGAGACCATGTTAGGTGCATCGAACTGAGAAGCTAGACCAGGAGCAATCCTATCCCAGACCTGATCAGAGAAGTAGAACCATAAATCACGATTAACATCAGGTGACAGAATAAAAGAAGCACCCTTAATTCAGTTGTGTGCGCATGAGTAAGCATGTCTTGCTCTCCACTTTTCTAAAGTGGTAATAGGTAAACAGCACGTTACATGGTATATTTACGTCAAACATGAGCAAGTAGAAACATAACTGACCTTCTCCACCACTTCTTTATCAATTTCTTTCTTGCCTAAATCAGTGCTTATATAGATTTAAGATCAGCTTCAACTTCAGAACGTCTAGTAGAACCACAAGTTAGTAAGCTTGAAATTTATAAATTTTAAGTGCTTATATAGATTTAAGATCAGCTTCATGCGGAATCTTGGTTTGGATAAAAGATAACCGCCCCTGAATGAACATAAATTGGTAAAACCAAGCATTATTAAAAGCTTTTTTTCCAAGAAACCTGGCATCAGTTACCTTCAAATACAGCCTTTATACTGTCAACTTGAGCCTGCCACTTGTCATTCTCTATTGCCCATCGAAATCCCTAAAAATAAATAACATGATACATTCGAATAACTTCACAAATATATTTATTAATGCTTAGAGGAATTACAAATTTTCAGTTTACCTGAACGCCAATTACTGGGGCTGGCACTGCATAGCGAGTGTCAGCAAAAGCAGCAAACCATGCATGCATTCCTGCATTTCATGATATTCACATAAACTCATCACGAAGCAGTGAGCAGTTATTTAATATTTCAGTCCCTTCAACTCTCAGTCAACAAACCTCCAAGTGATTCGCCAGTAATTCCAATCTTAGTAGGATCTATATCATCTCTCTGACTTAAATAATCTGCAAGTTTTATCATATCCCAGACCTAAAAGATGGAAAACCTTAAATGAATTGAAATGATAAAATAAAACCAAAATAGTTTAAGGTTAAAACTCAGAAAAAGCTTAAATTAGCATCTCCTTTAAGCCAAGACTATAAGATATATGGGAATTAAACAGCAGATCAATAGTTTGCTCAACTCCAGACTAGTCAGGAATTTCCTCTGAATTTCCTCGTACTTTCTTACCTTCGACCATTCTTTGAATTATAAGACAAACAAAAAATATAAAAGTATAGACAAACAAACAAGATATGAAGGGGTTACCGTATCAAATATGAATGGCATAGTATCCCCATTTCTCCATGATGATACCAGAACCTACACTCAGACAGTAAAATGACATTAGGATATCTTTTGAAGTGGTTTATCTAGAAACTAAAAACATTTAAAAAAAAAAAGAATAAGGGTTTCTTAGAACTTTCCATTGGCACCAATGACTCTTGCAATAGAATTAAGCTAAGTTAATCTTCCGGTACATTTTATCAAATCATACAATTAAACAAAACAACCCAGATTAAAGAAATATGAAAGGTAGACACAATTCATATACGTCTTTGTAAGTTGTTAGGCTGCTGGCACGTTAACCATGGTAGCGGGAATCAACACCAATGGCTATATATCCCCGTGAAGCATAAGTCAGAAAAATGAAGACAAGACTTGGTCTGGAAAAATTATAGATGATAAAAGAAGAAATTGGCAAATTCAAAGGCTTAGTTCAGCTAACCTCAAGCAATGGACGTAACCACTCTTTGCACTTATGAGTACTATGCAGAAAAACAACAGCAGGTCTCTTTTCTTGATTGTTTTCTTTCATAATTAAAATTAATAGGGGCAATTTTCCTTGATCCCCAGCCTATAAATGGCCAAGATATACCAAGTTTTTATTCTTCACGAGAAAATATACATATATGCATATAAACACAATATGGTAATAGAATTAGCTTATATTAATGCTTCTTTATTGCCCCCAATTAATTTACCTCGGTATGGAGATAAAGATTTTCCTCTTTAAGCAGCTCCTTAAGGTTTTCAATGTTGGCCTTTGGACAAGACTCCATTTCCTGGTAAATTTACAAATGAAAATGCTGTTAAAAACAGGTAATTAATCACAGAAATTCGAAGAAGAAAATCTTTAAGGAGAATTTTACCTCACTGAAAGTTGGCGGTGTAACATCTTGGAACAACGGCTTAACCACAGGCTTTGCAGGTTCCACAGTCAACGGAATTGATATTAAAAAAATAGAGTATATTCACAACAGTACAACCATATAAACAGAAACAAATTGGAAACATATTTCAGAGATTTACAGAGTAGGTAAGTAATAAGTATCGAATACTACTACGTATCCGATATATAATATATGATTAGATTTTTCTAAGTTTTTCATCATATTCAGAGGATTTTGGATACACGAATTTTTCAACAGAAACGAAGATCAAAGAATCAAACGCGAGTACTTAAGAAAGTGAAGAATCCGAGCTAGATAGTGTGTATATGTAAATTACCTTGAGCATTTCGTCTGGTACGAAGTAATTCAAGGAACTGAGATCGGATATTTTCTGGATCGGTAACGGCGCCGTTAGCTTCCATTTCAGTTATACTCACTCTGCTTCCGCTGCTGCCGGAGATGGATAAGTTAACGGTTTGGATTCGGTATTTATAGGGGATGGTTCTCGGAAGGTGAGGTGGCACGTGTGGAAGACAGCAGACGTGTCTCGTGGTTGATAGCTTATGTCGTCGAGTTATAGTTTGAGTAAGCTGGTGAAGGTGAGAGGCAAAAGCAGCCATTTTTCTATTAAGTAAAACATCGAAGGAAAAAAATTATAGGGAAAAAAAGGTACGGAAGGTATAATTGAGGACAGTGGACAACGTGGGCAATTGGGCATGTGTGAAGGAAGCAACCCAGACCCAAAACGAAAGGTTTTGGATATTTGTATTGTTTGGGGTTTAATATTATTTTTAAAATTTAAATATAAATTCTCACATTATTAAAAAAATTTAACATTTGTCGGGATCATAAAAGATAATGTTACTTCCATCGTTTGTTTGTTAAATTATGATCATAAAATAATTTTATTAGCTCTTCGTTAATTTGAATATTAATATTAATTCTAATATGATAAAATTATATTTAATTTACAAATATGTTTATCTATCTAAAAAATAATTAAAAATCCGCCTATGGTCTAATCCGCTTTAATATAATTTTTAATTTTTATATTTTGTCAAAGTAGAACAATAATCAAATAAAAAATTAATTTATTTCATTTAATAACATAACACTAAAGTACATTTTAATCTAATACAAAATCTTAGTAATTTATATACTAATCTTATATAAAAATTTATTAAAATATAATTAATAATATATAAATACAGAAAAAGATTTTTTTCAAAATTATTCCAAAACGTATTAAATTCTCCAAATCCAATCATGTTTAAAAAATCAACTCGATCAATCCAAAACCCAAATTTCATAATAAAAAAACAACCCTGACAAGGGTCAAAATCTGTCATGTACAGATTGTTTTTTTTTTTTATTTCTAACTGCTTGAGCCTTGAAGGTAAAAGGAAAGGGAAATTTAGGGGAATCATAACCATAAAAATCCAAGCAAAACTTTGTTTGATTCATTTTCAAAGGCGATATAACGAGGAACGAAAGTGGGAGGTAACCTCATTTTTGTTAACCTACCAGTTTAGGAAGTTTCTCTGAAGCTCCACCCAAACATAAACAAAATACCTACTCCATTTCATACATATTGTTGTAAAACAACCGAATTATAACAGTTAAAATGGTAAAACACCAGACCAATCATGTGGAGATCAGATACACGCTGCCTCCGGTAGATGAACTTATATTATTAAGAAATATACAACTTGAGGGTTTTAACTGAGATTTCATTACCCTGTATGTACTAGCAAGACAGCCCCAAAAAACATCCAAGATAACTACTTTACCTGTTCCTAATGTTTTAAGATGGTAAGGGTCTAAAGTGTCTAGCTACCATGGTTAACTCTTAACAAATGGTTGTCCCTTTTTCCCATATATATGGGGTAAGGGGAGGTAAAATAGTAGGCTACCCCCAACACCAGGTTGAGAGCAGCTTCCGTAAGAGACCTCCGAATTATGAAATACCCTCCGTGGGACTCGATCCCACGACCTCAAGGTTAAGAACATTGTGCTCTACTAACTGAGCTAGATTGTCATTTCAAATGGTTAACTCTTAACGATATTAGAATTTGGACCTAATAATAGATCCAAGAATCAAAAGCAGGCAGATGGTGGAACATAAGGAAAGAATGCTGGTTGATAGTGAGAACTATCTTACTCGCTAATTTGAGCTTTAAATCTCTACATTTTCACCATTGGGCAATTCATGCTTTAAGGGCTGGTCTGTATTCAAAGCAGAAGATGCTGCAGAGAGAGTCTGACCTGTTTCTACAGGTGCTGGGTTCGGAGACTTTACAATTCCACTAGGATAAGGCTCCTTAACTGCTGGATTTCCGGATTTTACGGCACCCATGGGTTCTTGTTTTGCAGACCGCATTGTCTCTGTAACATGTACTAGGGCAAATCATCATTTAAGAACATTAATTGGATTACTAACATCTAAGACTTACAATGAGAATCTAAAATCTATGAGGGAAATATCGAATAAATCTAAAGAAGGGATGGAGGGAAGAAAAAGTCAAATAAATCTCAATAAGGGATGGAGTGAGAATTGTAATGGAAGCAGAAACTTGACTACTTGGAGAGTTTCCAAGAAGGAACCCTCATTGGATTTTACCCAAAATAAAATTTTCGATATTTGGAGTCTAGAATTGTGAAATCAATCAGCTTACCCTTTATGCTCCCACAAGTAATGAGCTTATTGAGAAAATCACGAAACATTGTCAAAACAAGCCCTTCCTGCTCTGCATAG